ATATTAGCACAGATATTTTTATTTGTTTTAAAATTTAATGACCGTTTACAATTAATGTTGAGAAAATGATAGAACTGTTTTGAATTTTATGAAAATTAACCGTATAATATGTACATACACCAACGTTACTGGACAAACGATGAGCTAATTTTAAATGTGGTACAGTATTGGCCCAATCTCAGCCCCTTGCTCCCTAAGAAGATGGTTGTATCCCCACCATTTTACTTAAGAATGAATCCTCAGCCAATCAGAGCAAAGCAATAACAATGGCATATTATTTATATGAACGGTGGTTGTTTAGATCAATGATAAGCAAATCATGTTCTACGGGCCCATCTGTTATTTATCTGCGGCTCTCCAACGCGACGCTCCTATACAATTGTTGCCCATTACGAGTTCAGTTAGACACTGCAAAATATCTCTTGTTCATATTAACATTGTTTATGTACTACTTTTATCTTCGACTGCTTATCAATTTGCGGCTCGAAGCAGTGAAGGAGTTGGAGCTAATAATTGTGTGTAAACTATAAAATGGTACAAATTAATTATCAGCGCAATTACAATCATGTTATATAATTTAAAAAACAATATGGGAAAGTAATTAAAAATTCATATAAAATCTTTTTTATATTTTTATTTAATAAAAAATATACATTTATGCCTGATCACCCATGGGCATAGACTTGATGATGTCAGAGTTTCCTGGGTCTGTTATAGAAAGGGTGCATACCCTAAAGTATTTTCCGCATGCGGTACCTAATTCTATGTTGTTTCCCATATAGTGGTGGACACCAGTCTTGGCCAACATGGCATAATATTCGATCTCTGATTTCCTGTTTAAAAGAAGACACATTTTATAGACACTAGTATATTACTTTATAACTGAACTGTCTCTGCACTTACAAGCAGAGACGTGAGACTACTCCGTAGAACTCCCATGATGGACGTATAAATCGTCATCAATTATTTAAATCATTCAATACCATTTTTACGATTCGAAATTATATTTTCCAAATTTATTATTCTTGTGGGAGTACTACATCTCAGTCTCACCTTAGAGGAGGTGTGTTGTTGGCTATGATGACCAATTTTGCTTTGCCTTGCCGAAGCGACTTAAGCGTCTGTTTGTAGCCCAGAACACATTTTCCTGACTTCATGACCAGAGCCAATCTGGCGTTGATGCCATCCTGGGACTTCTTCTGTTAAATCGAAAAATAATTCATGTAATCAGTACATATTTAGTAATACTTATTAAAAAAAAAAATGAAGTTGATTTCATCCTAACAAAACTAAATAGTGAAACTCAACATGTGCTTTGAAAAATGGATGAAACACGTGCCGGAAATAAATATAGGTTAAATTATTTACCTGCTTCTTCTTGGCTACCATCTTTTTGTTTAATTAAATCTGCGTCTAAAAGAATATTTAGAAATTATTTACTAACATTTTTGCTAATTTATTTAATATTTTATTATAAAATATTAGAACGTTTCGATACCTTCTCAACACGCGTACTGCCACGGAACACGCCGGACGTGAAAGAACCTGAAAATGTCGAAATCAGTTCGAGTTCGAGATTAGTCACGAAACAAATTTTATAGAGAGTGTTCTGTACTTCCGTTACACAACTGAAGAGGTCGCAGCTCCCAACTTTCCGTTTGTATGTGCAGCTTGCTAAGCAATCAAAGATGGGGACAGAAATTATTTAGCTCTGATTGGCTAACGATTCAATGTTAAGACAGTTTTTTTTCTTGTAGAGGAATATTTACAACGTTAATAAGTTTATACATAGACTTCACAGTAATATCATTCTTTTTAGAACTTGACGAATAACAGTTCAAGATATTTTATGTTTAATTTTTTTTACGCATCTTTAAATTTGTAATACCATCTTTCGAATAATGAACATTGTCTTCGAATAGTGAACATTCTTTTATTATACAATGCAGTATTATTAGAGCATGCGGAAAATAATTAGAGTTTCTAGCTTTAAATACTCTCCACTGAATGAATGAATTTTGAATTCGACGTGTGAAAGAATGGTCGGACTTGATGACTCGGACGCATACCTGCGCGTACCGTATGCATACGCGATTCGCGAATCGCCGTGTGAAAGAGGTTTTACACATTATAAGCTTGCATCAATTGTAAATTGTAACTAACGATTGATATGTACATAATAACATTGTACTTCAAATGATCTCAGGAATCTTTTGAAGGGCTTGCTTCGAGATTCCTTGTATACATACATACATAATAACATGGGTTGTTGTAAACCGACGAATAGAAAAAGTTTATTTTACTCATAACATGTATGAAAAAACATAAAAGGAAGGCATTAAATTTCAGAAGTAATTAGGAAATCAATGTGAACCGTAAAATATGAAGGAAAAAGCGAAATGAGATTGTAAAATTGTAATAAAATTCCGTAAATATGATAACGCATATAAAGGAAGTACATATTGCAGGTGTTATCAATAGGACTGATAGCAGATGTATGTACATAATTAGTTCTTTATTTGTCATGTGTAAACGTTAACAAAGTAGTCATTTGTTATCAGCGACGCCCACGTTTTCGGCTTCATACGTGTACAAGCAATGTAAGGAATTATAAACATATTTTTTTAAATTAAATGAAATTATATTAAATATTTTGATCAGCAACATATGTATTGATACCGTTTAAAATACATCAATGTGCAAGTGAAAATTTTTGTCTTAAATTGTTACTTTGTGTTGATGGATTGTGTATATGAAAATTTATATTGTTCACATGAAACAGATGTATAAAATATCATGTTTTATATTTCAGTTATATTTGCACAATGGAACTTCAGTGTAAGATACAAACTTATGATTGGGGAAGATACGGAATAGATAGCACGGTTGCAACATTGGTAAAATCTGCAAATTCAGAATTCACGCTGGATGAAAAAAGACCATATGCTGAGTTATGGATGGGTACACATCCCAATGGCCCTTCATATATGAAGGATTTAGACATGACTTTGGAACAATATATAAAAGAAAATAGCAATTTTTTGGGCAAAGATGTTAAAAAGATATTTGGAGAACATTTACCATTTCTTTTTAAGGTTTTGTCTGTGAACAAAGCATTGTCAATTCAAGCACATCCAAATAAGGTATACATACATATTCACCAGAAAAGTAATTACTTTGTGTACTTTACTGTTAAATCTAATATACCACTGTAGGAAAAGGCCAAAGAATTACATCAGCAATATCCTACTATTTATAAAGATGCGAATTACAAACCTGAGCTTGCAATAGCTTTAACACCGTTTGAAGTTCTCTGTGGTTTCCGTCCAGTTAGAGAGATAAAGGAATTTCTGAAAGTTCTTCCAGAGTTACGTGTTGTAATAGGTGAAGATAAAGTACTTAAATTTATGGCTACAGATGAAGCAACCACTAACAGAGCTTTGAAAACATGTTTCCACAGTCTCATGACCTGTGATGCTGGTTTGATTGAGTTACAACTTAGAAAGTTACTTGACAGATTATCTAATTCAGGTAAATTAAATTAGTAGATTGGTAGTGTAAGCCTTATAGTCAATAAAATTTTTTCATTTTAGACGAGTCTTTAAGACAGTCTTTACATGCTAGCTTGTTGGAAAGATTACACATTGATTATCCAGCAGATGTTGGATGTTTTGGCATTTATTTCTTTAATTATATAACGATGCAACCTGGAGAGGCTATTTATCTTGGTCCAAATGAACCTCATGCATATCTTTCGGGTGGTAAATATTTTTTCATATATTTTGTACAACATTTTCAGTGTACATATAGTTTTAAAAATATATTTATAGATTGCATAGAATGTATGGCATGTTCTGATAATGTAGTACGTGCAGGATTGACTTCTAAATTGAAAGATGTGCCAACATTGATTGAAATGTTAACATACAACTGTGAACCCATTTCTGCTAAAAGATTTCAACCTACTCGCGAGGACGATTGCACAGAACTATTTCGACCTCCAGTGTTAGACTTTGCAGTGGCTAAAATTACAGTGAGTCCCCCTGTATAATAAAACTTTGTGTTACTAATATTTGAAAATGTGTTCGTATATATGTATGTATATATATATTACTATGCATATACATTTTAGATACCTCCAGGAAGATCTTCTTACAATATCATTCCTAGAAGCACAGCAAGTATTTTAATTATCATAAATGGGAAAGGTGAGATTTCATCGTCAAAAGTTCTGTACAGAGGATCAGTTATATTCATTCCAGCAAATGAGAAAATTGGAATTAAAGTTTTGTGTGGATGTCATCCAATGTTAATGTTCCAAGCTTTTGTAAATGTTTAAAGAAAGTATTCAGATCTATTGAAGATACGATGAACAGTAACAAGATGCCACTTACAAAGTATTATTTATTGCACCTTTACATGCTTAGAGTTTAGAGCAAGTATTTATTAATCTTTGATAATACATTGGTAGTAAAGTTTTAGCCATGAAGTTGCATTTAGTAATTTATATGGTAGACCGCTTATATAGAATCTTATATTTTTATCGGTGGGCTGTGAACATTNGAAGATACGATGAACAGTAACAAGATGCCACTTACAAAGTATTATTTATTGCACCTTTACATGCTTAGAGTTTAGAGCAAGTATTTATTAATCTTTGATAATACATTGGTAGTAAAGTTTTAGCCATGAAGTTGCATTTAGTAATTTATATGGTAGACCGCTTATATAGAATCTTATATTTTTATCGGTGGGCTGTGAACATT